GTGTGGACCTAATCTTTTCCAGGTGTACCCCCGTAAAATGCCCACATTTGATAGGAAGCCATGAATAAGGGACACAAAGCTTTAGAGGCCGCTGGTGTCCAAGTTCCCATCTTGTCTTGTTACCCTTCCCGTCTCCTTTTCTTTTCCTGTGGCTTGTGCTTATTTATGGCAATCATCTCCTTCTTTTTTAAACCATTCAGTAAGACGGGCTGGCCAGCTTTCAGATTGGAGAGAAATGCATACTTAAATAAAAATATCATCTTTGATGAAAGGAATTCCCCTTTCTCCCACATAGCTTGGATTGCTAACTTGGCTCGTCCCTCTTGTCAGTTTTTCTTTCTCTAAAACATGTAGATTTTTATTTTTATTATTATTTTTTTAAAAAAAATATGACCTGGTTTAATTTAGTTCCTTCCAGCCTTTTTTTTTTTTTTTTGGATATAGCAAGCTACAGCTTTGGTCTACCTCTAGTTTGCAGTTGACAGCGAAGGAAGAGAGAGGGGGGGAGAGAAGGAAGAGAGAGAGAGAGAGGGAGAGAGGGAGGGAGGGAGAAGGAAGAGAGAGAAAGCAAGAGAGGGATAAGGAAGAGAGAAGAGGGAGAAAGAAGAGAAGGAAGAGTGAGAGAAAGGAAGAAGAGAAAGGGAGAAGGAAGAGAAAGAAGCAAGAGAGAGGGAGAAGGAAGAGAAGAGGGAGAAAAGAGAAGGAAGAGAAGGAGAAGAAACAGGGAGAAGGAAGGAAGAGGGAGGAAGAGAGAAGTGAGAGGGAGAAGGAAGAGAGAGAAGGAAGAGAGAAAGAAGCAAGAGAGAAGGAGGAAGAGAGAGAGATGGGGCCTTTTTGATGACTCTGGTGGGGGGAGAGAGAGAGAGAGAGAGAAGGAAGGGAGGAAGAGAGAGAGAGATGGGGCCTTTTTGATGACTGGTGGGGAGAGAGAGAAGGAAGGAAGGAAAAGGAAGGAAGGAAGGAAGGAAGGAAGGAAGGAAGGAAGGAAGGGAGGGAGAGAGATGGGGCCTTTTTGATGACTGGTGGGGAGAGAGAGAGAGAGAAGGAAGGAAGGAAGCAAGGAAGGAAGGAAGGAAGGAAGGAAGAGAGAGAGAGATGGAGCTTTTTGATGACTCTGGTGGGGGAAAGAGAAAAAAAAACGGGGCCCTTTTGATGACTGATGGGCTTGATTTATTGGGTTCGGTTTTAATTCACAAACCAGCTGTGCGTCTCCTTCCCTTCCAAATCGGATAAAAGAGCAGTGCCATCAATTTGAGCGTTCTCCCCAAAACACACCCACAGCAGCTCGCCTTCCCCCCCCCCAGTTTCCCCCCCCATATTTCATTACCAATAAGATCGCTGCAATATTTGCTGGCATTTAGCTGTCATTCCCTGGGCCTGAGTAGATGCTCCTTTATGGGGAGGGGGGTTTCCCCCTCTTTTACCACCACCCCACCCTTCCAATGAAAGGAGAGGGCAAAGAAGCCAGAGTTGGGACTATTTCTACGTGTAGCCTACAGCCCCGACTATTTTATTACCCCTGCTTTCTACCAGCGAACACCTTCATTTAAGCCCCCGGACCCCTCAAAGCAGCCCCCCACCCCACCTCTTTTTGAAATCTCCCGAATAATCAGAATGGAGTATTTTCTTGAGGGTGGAATTCAAGACTTGAGAGCCCGGATGATCGAATAAATCACAGAGAGAAGGATCAAACTGAAGGGGAAGGGTGGGTGGGTGGGTTTCCTCCCCACCCCCTCTTTTTTTTTTTTTAGATTCTCATGCCTGGGAGGGGGAAAAGATGTTCCTCCTCTGTGGCACGTAGGAAGACGTCCCTGGGGGGGGGGGTGTCCGTTGCTAACTTGAGCCCCTGTTTTTCACATTGCTTTGAAGACCCGCCTTTTTTTTTTTTTTATGGCAAAACCAGGAGTGAAAGAAAACATCTAGGTATTTAAGTACCAAGAGGAGATGGATAAGATGGGGAAGGAATGCAGAGTTCTGGAGGAATGAAAGGAGCCCCCTCCCCCCCCCCCCCCCGCAGTGATAGGGAGTAATAGCTGATCCTAATGACTGTCTTCTCCTTCTGGGGGAATTGTGAGTGGGCTGAACATTTAGGCCCAGCTTTCTTTTCTTTCTTTCTTCCTTCCTTCCTTCCTTCCTTCCTTCCTTCCTTCCTTCCTTCCTTTCTTTCTTTCTTTCTTTTTCTCTGTCCCTTTCTCTCTTTCCTCTCTCTCCCTCTCTTTCCTCTCCCTCTCTCTTTCTCTCTGTCTCTCTTCCTTCCTTCCTTCCTTCCTTCTTTCTCCCTCTCCTCTCTCTCTCTCTCTCTTTCTTTCTCTCTCTTTCCCTTTTATTTCTTCCTTCCTTTTTCTGTCTTGCTATCTTCCTTTCTCGCTCTTTCTTTTTTCTCTGTCCCTTCCTTCCTTCCTTTTCTCCCCCCTCTCATCCTTCCTTCCTTCCTTCCTTTCTTTCTTTCTTTCTTTCTTTCTTTCTTTCTTTCTTTCTTTCGGGCTGTCCACTGCGCACACTACACACAAGTAAAAACCACAAATAGCATATATTATATACACACATCCTTCATATCCTATTCACTACTGCGCTGCCCCTAATATTGCACTTCAGACGTTTCACTATACAGAACGTTCTACTTTCAGTGTCCTGTTCTCTCTCCCTCCATCTGAAATCTGTCTGGCTCTTCCCTAAAGGGGGGAAAAGTCAAAACATTGCAAAGTAGAGGGGGGAGAAAGCTTTAGAGGCCAGACTTAAATTTGTCCCCTCTCTCACCAAGGTTATTCTCCTTGACTTTTTTTTTTTAACTTGTCTCAGTTGGGATGGGCCCCATGCTACTGTGATCAGGCCTCCAATGGGTCAAGCCTGTTGATGTTCTCCAGCCTCCTGGCCTCCCCATCGCTGGGACCACCTCTCTCTTTCCACCCCTACCCCCACCCTCTTTGATCTTGACATCTTGAGGTACAAACCTGGAAAGAGGGAAAACTGGGCCATGACACACCTCATATGGGACCTATTTTTATTGACCTCCCAGCTCCAGGTGTTTCCTGAACAAAGAAGCAGGAGAAACCCAAAGCCGAGGCTTCCAATGGAAAGGCTTCCTAGCTCTCCTTCCTGTCATTACCACTACCTCCTCCGTTGGCAAATTTGGTGGGCAGGGATGGGAGGGAAGCAGTTCTAAAAGGTTTGTCTCCCTCCAAGTCATTTGGGTGTGCGTGTGTGTGTTTGTATGTGTGTGCCTCCTAACGATCCCACTCCTGTTTTCCTGTCCTCAAAAAAGGAAGAGCGAATGGAGACCCCCCCCCCGTACAAGTCTGTGCCTGTTCTCCATTACGGCTCCATTGGGGCTGGAATTTGATCATGGCTGTGCCAGATCTAAGACTATATATTTATTTATCCACGCAAGCCATTGCTCCTTCTTTCCATTATGTTCAGCCAGAGGAGGTGGAATAGGAACTGATTTTCCTTCAGCCTTGCACTTCAAAGACAAAGGGAAACGAGATAAAATGGTATTTTTTGCGGGGGGGGGGGGAAAGAGAGGAATAGGTAAGGGAGATTAATTTCTCATCTTCCTTTGCTGCTCCTCACCCCCACCCACCCAGCCAGCCTCGCTGACTTCATTTCTAACCCCCAGATCATGCCAAGATCACCCGGAGCCTTCTACAGCTGCAAATGAAAAACAGTTTGAAAGAGAAAGGAATTATCAAAAGAAAGACCTTTTATCTGGCCAAAACGATGCACAGAATTGATAGCTTCTCCCTTCTTCGTCTTCTTTCTAGGACTCCCATTTATTACAACTTTTTATTATTATTATTATTATTCTCTCTCTCTCTCTCTCTCTCTCTCTCTCTCTCTCTCTCTCTCTCTCTCTCTCTCTCTCTCAAGCATCCAGTCCTTCTATAGATGATGGGTTGCTTCTGCTTTCCTTCCACACAAGCTCATCCTTTCCAATGGATCCAGTTGGGTGGGCATGTAGGAAGCCCCCCCAAAAAAGAACTAAAACAATCCTGGGTTGTATAAACAAGAGGCACAGAATCAAAATCACGTGAAGTATTAGTACCGCTTTGTAAAGCCTTTGTAAGGGCACACCTGGAATACTGCATCCAGTTTTGGTCACCGCCTTACAAAAAAGATGTTGAGACTTTGGGGGAAAAAAAATGGGGCAGAGAAGAGCAGCTAAGATGATTAAGGGCCTGGAGACTAAAACATATGAAGAACGGTTGCAGGATTTGGGGATGGCTAATCTAGAGAAAAGGAAGACTAGGGGTGACATGATAGCATCTTCCAGTATTGGAGAGGCTGCCACAAAAGACAGGGAAAGACAAAAAAGCACCAGAAGGCAAGACAAAAAGCAATGGATGGAAACAATTCAAGGAGAGAAGCAACCTGGAACTAAGGAGGAATCTCCTGACAATGAGGACAATAAACCAGTGGAATGACTTTTGCCTTCAGATGTTGTGAGAGCTTCATCACTGGAGGATTTTAAGATGAGATTGGACAACCCTTTGTATGGAATGGTATAGGGCAAAAGTCTTCAAACTTGGCCCTTTTACGACTTGTGGACTTCAACTCCCAGAATTCCTCAGCCAGGTGTGCCTGGCTGAGGAATTCTGGGAGTTGAAGTCCACAAGTTGTAAAAGGGCCAAGTTTGAAGACCCCTGGTATAGGGTCTCCTGCTTGAGTAGGGGGTTGGACTAGAAGACCCCCCCAAGGTCCCTTCCTGCTTTATTCTGATCGTTATTGGGTCAATTTGGTCATCAGGAAACTGATTCCTACATTCCAGCTACAGGAATGGCATGATGTCAGCCCACCAATTACGGAACCATCCAACTGATAAGGACCAGATTTCAAACTGCAGAAAGCCGGGCTGTGCGCATTTGCGAGGCCGGAGTGCAAGCTGGAGAGAAAAGCATCTCTTTCTTCAATTTTGCAAAAACCCAAATGCTATTTTAAACGCCTCTGTTGAATCAATGCCCTGAGCGGTGTCTCTGATTTGTCATTTCTTTTTGGATCCACAGGAGAGTCCTTGAGCTTTGCAGATGATTTGCTCTCCGGCCTTGGGACCGCCTGCGTTGCTGCGGGGAGAACTCACGGGGACAACCAAGATGGTCAAGAAATGTACTCCGTCATTTTCAAATGCTTGGAACCTGATGGACTGTACAAGTAAGCAAAGGGAAGAGAAGGACGGACGGAGGGAAGCAACTCAAGGAAAATTCAATCACCTGGGCCAAAAAGATCGAATCATAGTAACTGGGATCAAACTTTGTTAACCTGAAACGTTTCGTTGCTCATCCAAGCAACTTCATTAATTAGGAAGAGAGTCTGAGGGTCACTGGAATGTACCAACTCTTGCAAAATCAACTTCAGAGGGTTTCTTTGACACACTGTGAGCCATTAGGGTGGGGGGGGAGAAACCCCTGGTGTGGAAACCCCTGAAGCAAGTGTTGGTACATTCCAGCAACTCTTTGACTTTCGGCCTAACTATTTTTGCCGTGACAGATGAAGTTGCTTGGATGAGCAATTCAGATTAACAAAGTTTGATCCAGTTACCGTGACTCAACCTTTAGACATGGATGGAGGGAGGGTTAGAAGGGGAAATGAGGCAACAGTTCTCCTTTGTGTAAAAACGAACATTGTGCTGCGTCTAGCAATACAAAGTCTGGGTGGCAATAACCCCAAGAATTTGAAGGCAAAACACAGTGTCCTGGTGACTTAAGATTCTCAGCAGAACGTAAATACATCAGATTTGGCTCACGTAAGCTATCTTCTTGTGTCTTGAGACTACAGTTCCCATCATGCAGTTAATTCTAACTCAGGAGTCCATACATTTTTAAGATTCCCTACTGGCCAAACAGTCATGTCTATTGTGGGAAGGGCCAAACACTTTTGGGAGACAGAATGCACAATTCTGGTCTTCTGGCCTTTGAAAGGAGAGATCCAGATGATTGTTGGAAGTTGATTAGAAGACCAGTTCATATTTTAATCAGTCCAAACCCTGGTTTAAAGGAGGTTAAGTCTGTATTAAATGGATTGGTCCTCCCTTCGTCAAAGGGTTGGGCAAGTTGAAGCGGTCCTTTGACAATAGGAGGAAATTCACTGTCCCAAAGGACTTCCTTGTTTGAAGATGTTTCCCTTCTCATCCAAGAAGCTTCTTTTGCTCTGACTGGATGGTGGGGAATGGAAGGATTGATATTCCTTGCAGACAGCTGGTCATTTGCATTCTTTTAGAGAGTTGTTGAGGCCATTTGGAGGTTTCTTGGATGAGAAGCCAAATGCCTTCAAAGAAAAACAAGGAAGTCCAGTGGCCTCCTGAAAAAGCACCTTTGGGACCACCATGACCTGGATGATGGAGAACCTCCATAGACATTGAGGAAATTGACTTCTATGAGACACAGTCTCCCTTTCATCCACTGAGTTCTCCTTCTACCTTTAGCTTCAATGAAGAATGCCATGTTCAAAAGTTGAAGCAATTGAGTTGCCCATAAATTAGGAAAGCCACACTTCTTGTCTTCAGGTAGTAGAACGTCTTGGTCTTCTCTAGATTTCTGGTTCCCATCTTTTTTCAGCATGGGCACCCAAGATCATCCGAAGAAGAGATGTCCATGGAGATTCTCAGTCATCCAGGTCACGGTTGTCCCCCAGGTGCTTCTTCTCAGCACCCTTGGGTGAAGAGGAGAAGCTGAAGGTGAAACATGGGACCTTCTGCATGAAAAGTGTTTTGTCCAACGCTCAACTCAAATGGTTGAATAAGATAACTTCTGAGCGAGCATCAGCAGAAGATGCAAAGGGCCACTAATCTGTAATGGGACGACCTAATTTTTCTGCAGGCTCTAGGGGTGAAGCTCCTACCCTCAGGACCCCATGCTCAAAAATAGGACAAGGTCCCTGCTTTCACGATCCAGGCTGTGGGGTCCCCCCAAAAAAAACCCCACAGTGTGATATTCTGATCTACACAAAGATCAGGCCAACCCGTCTCTCTTTCAGATTATTGCTCGCCTCCTTCCACCACCCCCACTTCCCTGGGTGTCTCTCTTGCAACTTATTTTCTTCTCCACTTCTTGAAAGAAAACATCTCTCCTTCGAAGCTGTTGAAGCTGTCGACAATTCCAGGGAGAGGTTGTGTTTTGAAGTTGCCTGTCAGGCAGACACGTGCGTGCTGAGTTGCGCCTTCCCCCAATATTGCTCCCCCATCCCTTCTTTGGGTAACACAACCCAAAGGCCATCTTTCATCCCCTCTTGTGCAAATTCCATAAATATTATTTAACATCCTGGGCTGTTTGCATTGTCCACATCTGGACTTACCTCAAGCAATCGGTCCCTGCAGTTGATTAAGACTTTCCCTTCCCTCACACATGTTTTCTTCCTTAGATCTTCACCCAGCTTGCGGCTTCTGAGAAGAAACAAACAAATAGAGCATGATGGATTTTGTAGCTTTTTCAGCATCTGACATTTTGAAGAAACAAACAAAAATCTTTCCCTTTCTTTCTTTCTTTCTTTCTTTCTTTCTTTCTTCCTTCCTTCCTTCCCTCCCTCCCTCCCTCCCTCCCTCCCTCCCTCCCTCTTTCTTTCTTTCTTTCTTTCTTTCTCCCTCCCTCCCTCCCTCCCCCCTCCCTTTCTCTGTCTCTGTCTCTGTCTCTCCCTCTCTCTCTCTCTCTTTGCCAAATAGATCATCTCTCTTGTCTCCATTTGCCCATCAGGGTTTTAAGGCTAAGTAGTAATATCCATGTTTGGAGTTTGAAATATTTTTGGAGGAAGAAGAGGGGGGGGAGGAGGAGGAGGGGGAGGAGGAGGGGGAGGAAGAGGAGGAGGAGACGGAGGAGGAAGAACAGGAGTCACTCAGCTGGCTTTCTCCCTGTCTCCTGTGATTGGCCCCAAATCACTCAGCTGGATTTCATGCCTAAGACGGGACTAGAACTCACCATCTCCTGGTTATTTCCCCCAAACCACTCAGCTGGCTTTCTTGTTTAAGATGGAACTAGAACTCACTGTCTCCCACTTTCGAACCCAATGCCTAAACCACCAGACCAAACCGGCTGTCACCCTTCCTCCTGCGGAAGTGAAAAAAAAAAGTTTCTAACTCTTTCTTTCTTCTTCTTCTTCTTCTTCTCCTCTTTTCCATTTCCTCGGTGTTTATTCTCATCTCAGGGAGGAAAGATTATTTGCCATTTTTTAAAAAATAAAAATAAAAAATGAAGCTCTCGGCAATTATCTGTCTAGCCGCCAGCTGTACCTAGGAGCTGGTATGCTGGATTCATCTCTTGGGAGGAAGATAAATCAGGTTAGATAGGAAGGTGACTTGGAAGAATAAGCAGAGAAGACAAATTAGCCAGTGTTTAGAAGTTCTGTAGAGGAGAGATAACACGGAGTCTTCTTGGTTTTCTGTTTCTTTCTCTCTCTCTCTCTATCGCTTCCCTGGAAATAATAGCTGGGGAAAGGTTGGTGGGAGAGAATAAAACATGGGTATTTATCTGCCTAGTCCTTCCGATAATAACGGTCCATTGATTGATAACCCCAAATTGGAACAGCATTCATCTTTCCCTTCCTCATTCTGGTTCTTCCCAACCTCCCCCATATATAGTAAGCTAATGCAATTAAATAAATCTTTCCTAATCCTATATCTCTCCAAAAGAAGGAGGGGGGGGAGAGAAATGCTCTCTAAGCCAGGCAGCTAAGAAGACCCCCAAAAAAGGGGGGGGGAACAGTGGTTTTGTTGTCTTTTTAACTTGAAAAGTCTTTCATCATCCTCAGGAGTCAGTTGGGTCTGGTTTAGGTTAAGGTGTGGAGCTAGAAAGTGGGAGTTTGTGAGTTCTAGTACCATCTTAAGCATGAAGGCGGATTGGGTGACTTTGGGCCAGTCACCAGGAGACGGTGAGTTCTAGTCCTGCCTTAGGCATGAATGCTGATTTGACTGACTTTGGGCCAGTCTCTCTCTCTCTCCCTGCCTTGAGCTATTTGTTAAAATAATAAAAGTGGGATATGATAAACACCCAAAATCGTGCAGTGCCCTTGTTTTGTGGCACTGTCCTTCATTCGTGCTACTTGAACATCATCGAGAAACATTTAAAAGCTGGGAAGTTTCCTTTGAACGTTCTTTCCAGTTTTCATTTCGTTTTCCTGTGGCCGAGCTATCCGTCCTTCACACTGCAAGCTGCAACTCTACCCTAAACACACAATGGGGTACATTTTCCACTTCCTTTCTGATTAAAAGAAAAAAGACGCTAAATAAATACTAAACTGGAGGTCAGGGAAGTTAAGAGCAAATTGAGGAGAAGAGTGAGATTTTGGTAACTCTCTACTTAAACACAACTTGCAAGACCCACAAGAGGGCAGTGTCACAGAAGTTGTGAGAGGCAAGGAACATAGCATCTTCTCCATGATGTCATGATGAGGGGCTTTCAACTGTCTATCCATTCCTCCTTCTAATCCAGCCCTGTATGTTTTGTTCATTACTTGTTCTCTTTTTACTAGTGGTTAAATCTGCATTCTTTAGCTCAAAAACATATGTATCCCCCACACACACAAATTGGCTAATTTTGGCTTATTTTCCAAGGAAGGAAGGAAGGAAGGAAGGAAGGAAGGAAGGAAGGAAGGAAGGAAGGAAGGAAGGAAGTCATTTATTAGTGGACAGCCTGCAAAATAACAGAACGGAATAGCAAAATCAGAAGGAGCCTTGGAGATCTTCTAGTCCAACCCCCTGCTCAGGCAGGAAACCTTATACCATTTCAGATAAATGGCTGTCTAGTCTCTTCTTAAAAACTTCCAGTGTTGGAGCATTCACAGCTTCTGGAGGCAGGTTGTTCCACTGGTGAATTGTTCTGACTGTCAGGAAAATTCTCCTTAGTTCCAGGTTGCTTCTCTCTTTGGTTAGTTTCCATCCATTGCTTCTTGTCCGGCCTTCAGAAAGTGCTTTGGAGAATAGCTTGACTCCCTCTTCTTTGGGGCAGCCCCTGAGATACTGGAAGACTGCTATCATGTCCCCCCTCGCCCTTCTCTTCATTAAACTAGACATGCCCAATTCCAGCCACCGTTCCTTCTATGCTTTAGCCTCCAGTCCCCTAATCATCTTTGTTGCTCTTCTCTGCACTCTTTCTAGAGTCTCTTTGGCAATTCCTCCAGCATCTATTAGGGCCGATGTGTCTCCCTTTGCAATGAATAAAACATAG